TAATAATAGCAGGCCAAATCAGTTTCAGGTTGAGAGGCCAACAGGAAGAAACAGGTCTTCCTATTTTGTCACTCTACCTGGAATGCTTCTCTCACCGCTCCCTACTCAGACCTCAGCTCTAAAGCCACCTTTTGAAGACACTGATAGCTTTCCCACCCTCACACCTACAGCTGCTTTCACCCCAGACCCATTCTGAAGCACATCTCCTCCCCCCGCCCCTTGCCCGGCATGTGTCATCCATCACCTGACATTACTTTGATGACTCTCTGCCTGCCTACCTTCCACTATCAGGGGCACTCTTTGAGGGCAGGTCCTCATCCATACTCATTAGGGGTGTTTGCTCAGTATTTCGAATGGTGCTCAGCCCTTTACCGGCACTCCATAAATGACTGTTCGGTGTACAGATGTCTGCGTGTTCTCTGCAGTCAATTCCCTACTGCACGAGGTGCAGATCACCCTGTCGCGAGAAAGGGCTGAGAGGTGAGGCTGCCAGGTAACAGAATGCTGGTGCATCATTACCAGGTACACTTTCTGGGGCTTTTGTTGGTAGGTGCTGTTGAGTACAACTCACAGCAACCTTGTGAACAACAGATCTGACTCCTGTCCTATCCTGTGCCAGCCTCACCATCTCTGATATATTTGAGCCTATTTCTACAGTCACTGTGTCAATCCACCCGGTGGAGGGTTTTCCTCTCTTTCTCTGACTCTCCACTTTCCAAGTGTGATATCCCCCTGCAAGGACTAGCCCCCTCCTAGCAACGTATTCAGCGTATGAGAGACAAAACTTTGCCATCCTTGCCTCCAAGGGGCACTCTGGCTGCACCTTTTCCAAGACATACCTGTTCATTCTTTTGAAAGTCTGTGACATATTCAGTACTCTTCTCCAACACCACAATGCAAACGCATCAATTCTTCTTCTATCATCCTTATTCATTGTCCAGCTCTCAGATGCACAGCAAGTGATTGAAATGACCATGACCTGAATTAGGTGCACTTTAATCTTCAAACTGATATCATTTCCCTTCATTATTTTTGAGAGGTCTGAGAGAAGCTTTGCCCAAAGCAATATGTCTCTTTATCTCCTGACTGTTGTTGCCAAGAGTGTTCATTGATTGTGGATCCAAATAAGACAAAATCATTAACAGTTTCAATCCTTCATCTATCAAGATGCTACGTATTGGCCCAGTGTTAAGGACCTTTGTTCCTGGGATGATGGGCTAGAATTCCCTTTTAACAGAGGCTGGGATCTCCTGGGCCCACATTGTGGGATAGCCTCTGCAATCCAGGCTCCTTCCTTTCCTCCTCCCCTGTCCCATCTCCTCCCTCCCATTTGTTCATCTACACCTTCCCTGGCAAACGTGAAAGATCAAGGGTGGGGTGGGATTGTCAGTTTCAGCTCCTTTATCAGATATTCAAATGACAATTTCCTTCTTGGGTGTAAGTCCTGGGGGATATTATTGGAGAAATGATCAAGACCCTTCAAAGATGGTCAAAGAATCCCAAGACCACCAGTGTTCCGTGTGTTTTCATTTCGCAGCCATTGCAACATTTGTCCAAAGCCAGATTTGGCCAATTCCTAGCCAGGTGAACTTGGACAAATTATGGGACCTCTCCACGATTCAGTGTCTTTCTTTTATAATATTCATGGTTAGTTCATGGGCTTGAGTTGAATATTCAAGTGTCTGGGATGCAGTGGTTCCCATGGAGATCATGGTTCCCAACATTTCTTAACTCAGCCCCATCACTGCCTGTGTCTTAGATCCTGCTGCAATCTGCCACCTTGCCCTCCCCACCAACTTGGGTGTGACAAACTCATTTCCTAAGGTCCTGTTCTCTTTAGGGGTGTGGGGAGGCTCCCTGCATTGCTGGGGAAACCAGGTGGCTGGTATTACAGGGAGAGGGGAAGAGGGAGGTGGGAAGGCAGCCTGGTGGTAAACAGATGGGAGCTTATCGAACCAGCACTTGATTAAGGAGGGCGGACAGGAAAGGGCTAGGCCCTGCTGTCTGGCAATGACTTCCCCTCCCCTTTTCTAATTTCCCTTACAGACAGTTTTTAAAAAGGTTAATGTTGTAATTATTACATCATTCATCCAGCCTCCGTGTAAATATGGAAGCATTAGAGTTAAGAATGCATTCTTCTCTGACCCTTCCTGCACTCAGGTTTGGGCTCTCTCTGCAGATTACACTTCTTCTTTTGGCCATATTGCCCTTTGTGACATCAGTTCCCTTTCAGGACTGCCCAGCCAAGGCTTTGAAGGCCAGTCAGTACTGCCCCTTCCTAAAGATACCTTTGTTTAAGTTGACTTTTGAGTTATAGTGACCTGAGGGGACAGAATAGAACGACCATATAAAGTTTCTAAACGCTAATTTTTAAAAAGTACTGATTGCCAGATCTTTCTCCCAAGGAGCCACTGGGTGAACTCAAAATACCAACCTTTGGGTTATCAGCTTAATGTTTAACCAGGCTCAGCAGCCTGTGTAGACAGGGCCAACTAACTTCTAGAAATCTTTCCGGCACCTTCCAACTGGTGTTCTCCCCTCTTCTGAAGTCCTGCCAGTGTTTAGCACACAGTTCACAAATAGTTTCTGTCCATGGCCAGTCAAGTGTCTCTCCCTAGAGTTTACAGGAGGCCAAGTCCTGAGGCCTCGCCCTCCTCTCTCCCATAGTCTCAGGTTCACATGGAGCATGGAGGATAAATGAGGTCAATCAGCTTCTGAATGTAGAACTCTCTGCGTCTGGTCTGTTTTACCAAGGGAGGCTCTCGAGGCGCTTGCTGTTGGGCTTCACCCCGACCTGTGGCTGAAGGATTTTTGTTCAGCTGTCCTGATGAATGAGGATAGTCGAGGAGTGAAGTACTCAGCCACTTAATAACTTTGAGTGACCTTAGACAAATCCTTAAACCCTTTGGAGAGTTTTACCCACCCAGTTATAAAATGCAGGGCTCACCAATTCCCACCTCATGAGCTGTTGCGAGGATTGTTGTTGTTAGATGCTGTCGAGTTGGGGACGACTCATAGAGATCCTATGAACAATGAATCTGAACCCTGTCCTGTCCTGAGCCACCCTCACACTTTCCCATTGCAGCAATCATTGTGTCAGTCCACCTGGTTGAGGGTCTTCCTCTCCTTCATGGATGCTCCAGCTTTCCAAACATAATGTCCCTCTCTAAAGAATAGCACCTCTTAGAAACATGAACAAAGCGTGAGAGGCGAAGCTTCATCATTCTTGCCTCCAAAGAGCACTACGGCTGCACTTTCTCCAAGACATATTTGTTCTTTTGGCCATCGATGGGATGTTCAGTGCTCTTCTCCAACACCACAGTTCAAAGGCATCAATTCTTCTGGCATCCCTATTTGTTGTCCAGTTGTCAAATGCATAGCAAGTAATTGGAAAGACCATGGCCTGAATCAGACACACCTTAGTCCTCACACTGACATCATTACTCCTCAATAAAACAGGCCTGCCTTCAAAGGCAGTCTTTTGGGGTTTGTACTAGGATACTAAGTGAAAGAAAGTCTGACAGTTCTAATCCTCTCAGAGCACCTTGGAAGGAAGGTCTGACAACCTGCTTCTGAACGGGTATTGCTGTATGCCGTGGAGTCAGAACTGACTCATAGCTGACCCTCCACAGGATTTTCAGAGGCTGTAAACTGCATGAGGGGAGATTGCTTATCTTTCTCTCAAGAAGCAGCTGGTGGATTCAAACCTTTTACCTTTTGAGTTGGAAGCACAAGTCCTTGTGGCTAGGCCATCAGAGCTATGCAACCCTTAAACACAGTCCTAATCTGACACATTTGGGGTTATGGGAGTCTGAATGACTAGTTTTGGTTGTTCACATACGGTTTTAACATTGTCCCAGTGAAGAGCTCTGTTAGCTTAGTGGTAAGGAATTGCGTTATCAACACAAAGATCTGTGGGTTCGAATCCACTAACTGAAAGATGGGCAATCTCCTTTTATAGTCAGTTCCTACGCATTGGTACTCAACAACAACAGAGATTAGGAGTATGTTCATTCAGCATCTCTTGAGCATCTCTTCCAAAACAGACGTGTGGGGGTGGAGATAGAGACCTTTGCCTGGAGGGGGATGTGATGTGGCGGTGGAACCACGAGCATGAGGCATTCACTTCTTCCACGCCAAACGCTGCCCCGGGCGCTCGTTTTGTTCCTCTCACCTCCCACCCCTGATTAATCACAGACTTAATTCCAATTGTTAAAATATGGTGAAAAAGATTAAAGTAAACGGACCCAATGACTGGGCGCAGGCCCCCGGTGCCGTCCTAGGCAGCTGAAAAAAGCTCCCGACGCCCGGCCCTGCCCCCCTGCTGCTGATTGGTTCGCTCAGTGTGTCGTCACCCGGGGGTTTTTAAGGCCGCGCCGCGGGGCCGGCTCCGCAGAGGCGGCGGTGACTGCGCGCAGGGGGCTGCGGGGGGCTTCACGTGGCAGCTTCTGCGGCGGGTCCCATGGCCGCTCAGCTAGCTGCTCCGGAGAGGCGCGGGGAGAACGCATCTGACAGCAGGTAGAGGGGCTGACTGACAGTGCTGAGGTGGCGCGGTGTGCGGGGCCTGGGGAACTGCTGCCGTGGTGGAAGAAATGTGGGCAGGACAGTGGCGTTGTGCTGTGGGGAAGGGGCCACGGGGGAGGAGGGAATGTTAGCGCCCTGGGGACGTGGAGGGAGGGTGGGAGAGGGCAGTAGCCCTGGGGTCTCAGCTCTGGTGCCCCGACTCTGCAATTGCTGGGGTTACTGCTCAGGCTTTCTCTTCTGGTCAAGAGTCTCACCTGGGAAAATGGGGGTCTGCACTCTGTGCCTCCAGCTTAGGGGAGACGCTTTACAAGTCCGGGCCCCACGGGGCTCCTGTCGGGCTGTCAGAGGCCCCGACAGCGGAGAGTGGCTCGCCACTTCTTCCTTTTGCTTCTGTTAACCTGTAACTGCCTTTTTTTTTTTTTTTTAAATAATCGTCTTTATTAAACATCTCCTTTTCCACTCCTTTTCAGATAACTTAGCTGTGGTCTCCAGCTTGCAATTTCAAGGCCTTCCTGCCTCTACTAGGACCCGAAATCTCCCTGGAACGAGCCATGGGGAACCACCTGACGGAGATGGCGCCCACCGCCTCTTTCTTGCCCCACTTCCAGGCCCTGCACGTCGTGGTAATTGGGCTGGATTCGTCCGGAAAGACCTCCCTCCTTTACCGCCTCAAATTCAAGGAGTTTGTGCAGAGTGCCCCCACCAAAGGCTTCAACACAGAGAAGATCCGGGTGCCCCTGGGGGGCTCCCGCAGCATCACCTTCCAAGTGTGGGACGTCGGGGGACAGGAGAAGCTGCGGCCACTGTGGCGCTCGTACACTCGCAGGACGGACGGGCTGGTGTTTGTGGTGGACGCTGCCGAGGTCGAGCGCCTGGAAGAGGCCAAGGTGGAGCTCCACCGAATCAGCCGGGCCTCGGACAACCAGGGTGTGCCCGTGCTTGTGCTGGCCAACAAGCAGGACCAGCCAGGGGCGCTGGGCGCCGCCGAGGTGGAGAAGAGGCTGGCCGTTCGCGAACTAGCGGCCGCCACGCTCACCCACGTGCAGGGCTGCAGCGCTGTGGACGGGCAGGGCCTGCAGCCAGGCCTTGAACGCCTGTACGAGATGATCCTTAAGAGGAAGAAAGCTGCTCGAGGCAGTAAGAAGCGACGATGACCGGAGGCTCACTTCTCCCCACCCATTAGGGGACTGCATCTGGACAGCAAAGCAGCCTCTTACCCCAGCGGTGCAGGACCTGCCGCTCAGTGAAAGACTCAGACGTCCAGTGGGGTCCTGTTTTGAGGACGCTTTGGGGAGGGGGACAGGTGTAGAGGCGTCTGCACATCTCTCATCCTCACCCTGGACAGACAGAGGGAGCCACAGTACAGTTTCGGTGGAAACTAACTCTACCTCCACCCCGATTCTCATTTTTTTCCTTTCTCTGGCTCTTTAATGGGATGTTTCTGGGGGGCGATGGGGAATTGTTCAGAGAATGCTTTTGGAATCAGTCTCCCAGCTACTCTGGGGGTGGGGGTGCTGGTCACAATAGTCTTTATTTTTGTGTAGTGTGAAAGTGCCAAGACCCCCTTTGCATATTTGTAGACTCATCACCCTTTTTTTATAGGCCAGATGTGCCCTCTGTATTATTATGATTAATGAGCTATTTTTTAACATTTGCCTATAAGTTATTAAAAACTGATGACACTCTTACCTTAGTCTGGAATTTTCCTTCTCCTCTTCTGGTGCTAGCATGGTACAGGCTTCTAGAAGCCTGAGAGTGGGCAGGATTTAATCTTAAAGCTGGATTTTCACAGCAAGCCCTCTTCTTAAGAATTTTTGTGTTTAGGGTTGCTGGTATCTGCCTTTGGAAAAAGAAAATGCTTTCTATTTTTCCTCCCCCTCCCTCTCCTCCTCCCATCTCAGACTTGGGCTCTTACTTGCCCAGGACACCACCTGGTTCTTGTGCATTTCATTTTGTGAGTGTGTGTGCACATTTAATTTCATATTTTGCTGGTCTTAGGTGCTCTTAGGTTAAATAGGTATGGTCTTGAAGAGCCATTCTGTGCCCAGTTCATTTCCCTACCCCCAACACTCAAGTTGATCTGATTTTATTTTTTCCCTCCTCTTGGGGGGGGGGATGTGGTAGGAATGGAAAGTAGTTCTTCCCTGGCCTTTGAGCACTCATTCCTGCTGACTGCAGCTCCCTGGCAGCAGAGGCTGGTGCTGGGGAGGCCTGGGCTGGATGGAGCAAGCATGTTCTCTGTGACTCAGCCAGGAGTCAGCCAACTCTGGGAATGATAGTGTTTCCCACCAGAGGGGCCCAGTCAGACTCTGCACCTGGTGAATGTAGGGATTGCCAGTTTCTGTCCCCTGACCACCCTCCAGGGGAGGGGAGGGAGGATACAGACCACGTTGTTAGTAACTCACATTGTTAGTAACCTGCCGCTGTTCAGTGGATCCCGAGTCCTAGCAGCCCTATGTGACAGTCCTGCCCCTTAGGGTTTCCAGTGCTGTTCATGTTTACGCAAGCAAGTAGTGGTCAGCAGCCAGATGTTGTAACCACTGCACCAGCAGTGCTCCTTGCTCTAGTATAATAATAGATGTTCATGCTGACAGGGCCTATGTGCTCTCTCCCCAGCAGCACCTGGGCCAGCTGCATTTGAGCTCTCAGACCCTCCTAACCTTCCTGGGAGGGAAGAGTGCAGGACAATCAAGTACAGACCCTTCTCCCCAGGCTTTGCTCCTCCCTTAGTGCAAACATGGAATCCTTGGACTAGGGACAGAGGCCCTGCTCCACAATCAGAAAAAAGAACCTGGAGAAGGGGAGGAGGCGCTGGCAGCCTCCTGGGGAGACATCGTAAAGAAATGTGCTGTTTATTAGATGTTATCCAGTCGATTCTGACTCAGTGACCATACATACAACAGAACCAAGCACTGCCCGGTCCTATACCAAACACACAATCCTAGTATTTGCTGTGTTTTGGTGATACCCAAACCCAGGCCAGGCAGGGGCTGAGTTGTCCTACTGAGCCTGAGCCAGTTCACAAATGTTTGCGCCCTGCTCCTGAGGCTGGTAGGAGGGGTGGGTGTGCATCAGTCCGGAACAGTGCCCGGGTATGCACGTCAGAGCTGCTAGGCTGGTTCTGCAGGAACCATCTACCTGTCCCCCTTCTCCACACACCTGTGACTCATCTCCCTGGTCCTTTGGGCAGAGTCCTCTTCTGCAGACCAGGAAAATGCCAGGCCCAGGTCCAGGCTGGGAAGGCCCAGACCAGAAAGACCCTCTCTGGGCAGCCATTCCTCTCCACCAATCCGGCTCTTTTTTTCCTCACAATCCTCCAAAACACATTCTCTCCATTTTGCTTATCTGGGGCCTGAGGGATCTGGATTTGGTGGTGGGGGTGTGTGTCTCTCCTCTGTGCTTTCCCTCCGCTAACAGAAGGGCCTCTAAGGGGACAGCCCACAGTTCTGGCTCTGCCAATCCACTACCCTATCTGGTTAGAGCAGATCCCTTCTGTCAGGGGCCTGGGGTCCACTAGAGACTTCCCGATTCTCCCTCTGTCCTGATTTTTAGGTGGTGGCAGTGGAAGGGGGACTGGTGGCAGAAAGTGAGGGGGAGAAAGCTAGTTCCTTTGGAGGGGTGGTGGGAGCAGGGAGTGCAGGAGGACTTCTTATTAGAAAGTCCTGTTGCTGATTGAGAGGAGGTCTGGGAGCTTTGGAATAATCTTCCTGCCTTGATGCATCAAAGGGACTGGAGAGCCAGGAATGAGGGAGTCACCCTGCTATCTTAGACTTGGTGTCTACCCCAGGAATCCAGGAATGAGGGTGGGATGGGAGGAGGTGGCATTGTGAGTTCTCTGGTCACAGTTTTGCCATCAATTTGAACTGCTCTGTGACACTGTAATAGGGGCTGAGGAGAGAGGTTCCTTGAGCACAGAGGGCCTCTAGGGGTCAGGAGCGGTGGGCAGGGGTTGGATACTTGTGAGGGGAGGTTGCAGGAAACCAGTGGGACCAGAGTCCTGGCTCCCCGATGAGTCATTTTTTTGCACCCCCAATCCTTGCACAAATTGGACTGTAAAGTCTAGATAGAAAGCATTTTGCTATCATTCCCTTCCCTCAGCCTCCCTTAAGAAGACACAGATGACAGGGCTCCTCACGGTTGCTTGAGTAAAAGGGAACGTCTGTTCCCCACCTTCTCATGCCCTGCCCAGTCCTCCCTCTGCATATGTGCTGAAGAGTGAATGAGAAGGAAGGGAATAATCCAAGAACATACTGCTCAGTGGAACCTCCAGGGTCTTCCTCCCAGGCCAGCTCTGTGTACCACCAGGCAGATAGGAGGCCGGGAGTGTATCTAGCATCTCTGAGCTCGGCCTGCTCCCTCCCTTTCTCCTCCGCTTGATTAGATAAAGGCCCCACTCTTGCTCCCTCACTCCCCTTCCTGAGTACTGGCAACTTTATCACCAGAGCTCAGCAGAGAGCTTGATCTGGCCAGAACCCCTGCCCTGCCTCCACACTGACCATGTGCCGTTCCACGTCTTAGTGAGTAGTTAGATTTTACTGTGTTGTAGGTGAAAGGCATTTTCACCTAAAAATTTGCTATATAAATAGAGCAAATTAAGTTTCTAGCACTAAACAATTTTTATACACAAATTGGTTTTTATACAAAAAATTGATCTGTGTTCTGTGACACTGGTGACATTTTTCACCATGTGGCAGTGTTCTCATCTAGTTCCATTATGTTTGTGCTGTTTCCATCGATCTGACCTTCTTGCCCCTCGTGGCGTCTCATCTTTGCTTAAGGGAAAATGCATTCAGTCTCACAGACTTGATTGTTTTCGAGGGAGCACAGCACTAATGGATGATATTACTTATGTTTGAGAGTTTTCTGGGAATGACTTCAATGTCAAGTTCAAAAGGTATCTTCAGGCTATAGTCTAGGGGTTCCACTAGTCTCTATTAGTTCAATAAGTCTGGGCTGTTTTTTCCTTTTCTTTAGAAGTTTGAATTTTGTTCTATATTCTCACCATTCTTACACCCTTCAAAATGTGTCCGTCCCTGATCAGAATGGTCGATAGCGGACTCTTAGGAATCCAGGCTTTCTTGAGATGATCCCCTACAATTGGTCTAGGAAGCTTCAAGCTCTCGTGAGGTGTTTAGGAATACTCCTGGCCAGTCTCCTCTCCAGCACCAGCACCAGCCTCTTGAAGGAAGAGTGGTGGAGGAGAGGTAGAGAAGGCAGTGAGAGAGGCCCAGGCCAAGGCTCACCACCATGTGAGCAGGTCAGTTGTTATCCACGGTGACCAAGGCCATCTACAGAGCCAAGGCTGCTCTGCTGGCTGGGTCTTGTGCGTAGTTATCATGGGACATCCTTTGCTGGCTGTGTGGGAGCAAGGACTTATCCTGGTATTTGCTCTGTCTTCCTTTTCCCATTAGTTGATACAACTGTGTTTCTCTCAATGACAAGAATAATTGATATTTGTTATGAAAGAAATGAAGGCATTCCACTTTCTAAATGTCAGAGCTAAGGACTGTGAACAGGTGTTGATATATTCCTCTGTTTTTCTTTCAGGTATAAAAATGGTACGTATACAGCAGATATGAATTTCAAGACTTATTTTTTGAATAATGTTGTCTTCCTCATTGTATCTTAGACATTATTCATTGTCAGGACATATGGATTTTCCTCATTCTTTTTTGATGACTATGGGAGATTCCACTGTATGACTGTACTATACTTTTAAAATTAAATCCTCTACTAAATAGCTCTTCAGTTGTCTACAGCATTTTCCTCTTACAAATAAGGCAGCAACCAGCTTCCTTGCACGTATTTCTTTGTGTACTTGTGAGAGATTTCCTGTAAGATAAATTTCTAGAAATATGATCATTGTGTCAAAGGGTAACACATTTAAAGTGTTCATAGTTTAAAAAAAAGTTTTCATAGTTACTGTCAAAGCATGTGCTTGTGTATATGGGGAGGGGGCTTAGGGAGGAGGTAAATTTAACCCCAGCCTCGTCAATCTTTGTCTTTGGATTATAGGGTGTCCCTAAGCTCTCTATGTGTGTGTATGAGTGGGCAGACATCATAGCGTTGTTGCTTTTGGGTGGCAGTAATAATTTGACAGAGGATTTGTGGGGAGGGCGATTGACTTCAAGCCTCTGATATTATTTCTGAGTCT